CATGTCTCCCCCTCATGTTAGAAAAACTAACTTGTTTCCTCAACTTTAAGAACTCATCTTTGTGCATTATGGTGTTAATTAAAATATACACCGCACATCAATAATAATAAGATGGAATTATCTGGTTCCTGACCCTGAACCACTTGTGAGGGGAAATTGTAATATACTTTCGTATATAACCTATATCAAACTGATATAGATAACTTTGTTCTCATAAGCAATAGTTTAGCTATTAAGTGGAGGCACTCAATAAATTATTTTGCTAAACCAACTGTGATGAAGATAAACTATCTTGAATAGGAAATCTGGAAATTATGCTCGAAATTAAATTATTGAGCAAGTTACCTCGCAAAATACCATGTTGCGGGTTATTAATAATCGCACATGCAACCATCTCATAGATGCATCTTATGTGGTATACATGGCTGGTGAATGGGCCCATATTCACCTTTGATATTTCCAGCATTCATGGGATTCAATCCCAATTTTAGTTGGTATATTAATTAATGAGAACAAGCAACATAAGAGAATTCGTAAAGAACTTTCTAGTTCTTTAATATTTACCCATGTGAATTCTCTTTTATTTTTGCACATCATACTTGAATTAACATGGCTAAACCAATTATGCCAACTGGATAAATTATCAATATTGATAAACTTCAGGTTTACACCATGATGTGTGCAATTATGAATAAACTCCAAGTTTATTATGATATGGGTTTTTATATCAATAAATATCCACTTCATTGTGGTATTCTTTTGTTTATGTAGTACAAATTGGAGAATAAAGCGGGTAGCTTTTCACATACATATTACCCCGCTACAAGTTGTAGTAATAGAAGATGTTAAATCTTTCCTTTATTTATAGTCTCAATATAATCAACAGCTTTCGCGTATACTTTGGAAACCGAATAAGTTTCTTTGAGACTTACTACAACACAATACCTTATTGGTAATTAATTGTGTTTCTCCAAAATAGTATAATTGGCTCTTGCAGAGTTCTCAATTAATTTTGTAGTACCACATATTCATCAACACCCATATGGTGAATATCTCATTTTAAAGAGAAAGTTATACCATTATGGTTATGGTCAAAATTATATGCAAGATCTGTTTCTTGCATTACCGTTAATCACAATGCCAAAATATTTTGGCGTACAATAGGTACGTGACCAATGACCATTCATGCCATAATAATGACATTATTTTCTTATATCATCTCAAACCTTCTTTTAGAGGTGAGTGTGGTATATTCACTACCACTAGCACGTTCATATTCTTTGAAGAATGAATATGTATTCATAAATCAGATGTTGTCACATTCACATCATGAATGGACCATAATCATCTATATGTGCTTTATAAAATCTCATGTCAAATCGATGACAAATATTACTTTCATAGAGTGAAGGATTATTTTGAGAATCCTTATTATTCTCATTATCACAATGATGACGATCATAATTTCGTCTATTGCCACGTCCACATCCATTGATACATTCATAGTAATAATTTTGTCTTCTTTCAGACTTATCACATACTGCTATCACATTCTCTTAAGGGAATGAGAATGGAGCAAATTCAATGGGACGGGTTTTCAATTCTTTGCCCACAATCATACGTGAATTTGATCATGACGGACATAGAAATTTTACCACTTCAGGTGGTTATAATTTCTTACAAACTCCTTTAGAGTTATAATCAAACTTTGTTGTCTTTGCTTGTATATAAAATCAAAGTATAGAATAAAAGAGAAAAATACGGTAAAATACGTACCTTAAATCCAAAATTTAATCATGAAGGAAGTTCATAAAACTATTGACAATCATTATGCTCAATCCCAAAGCTTCTACTCAATTGGTTAGAGTCTCGTGCTGATAACGTGTTATAAAACAATAAAAGAAGAAGAAGAGTATTACAGAGAAAAGTAGAGGGAGAGAATTCTTATTGATTTGGGATGATTTACAATGGAATAGGACCCCTCTATTTATAGGGAGAGGTTGACTTAGCCACCAAATAATAAACCCTAGAATCTCTCTAAATATAGACATTCACCATAAATAAAATTCTATTTATAACATTAATTACAAAATAATAAGTATAAATTAGCATGATGGCAACTTTTGAGAAAGTGATTGTGTCCTTGATGAACTATTACGTATACCTACATCAATTGATGCTAAAAAGGTCTTTATATATCTACATCATAATTAATCCCTAGCTTAAAGGTGCATAATAAGAATTAAGATATTACTACTCCTAGTTAACAAAAGCAAATGAAAACTTTAAGAGGGCTTTTAGACTGCTGATTACTAAATTAATGCATGCACTAGGTGACAATTAGACTGCAACAATTAAAATAAAGTCTTTATCTACATCGGAATCCTTAGCTTATAGGTGCATATGAAAATTAAAATGACTTTTAGATTGCTGATAGCAAGAAATGGTGTAGTCTAAGGTGACATTTAGACGGCAATAATTAAAAGAAGCTTCAAAGTTGCATGCTACAATCATAACATAAAACATTATCTTAATTAAACTACTCGCGATCTTATCTCAATTTTTATGCCTTTACGCTTATTGAGGCCTTGAGGAGTAATTTGATAAATTGTTTAAGGTAATATCTAAAGGACATTGTTTTTTTCAAATGAAGACTTCGATATATTTGAAAATTAGGCAATGAAATACATTTATTTGGGAAATCAAATTATCAAAACACAAAAAATTAGAACTGAACAAACTAAAATAAAATAAAAAACAGCCAATTGTTGACTATACGGTTAATCATTCATGAAAAAGATCGAGTCACCTAGAGGCAGTGGCGGATGTAGTATTTAAAGTGATGGGTTCAATCGAACTAATAAGTGACGTGGAGTATAATTTATATATAAAAATTCATTAATTTGCAAAAAATAGTAAATATGTCATAATTTTAAAAATATAATGGGTACAAAGTCCAAAAACCCATAAAATTTAAATCTTGTATCCGCCTCGGGTAAGTGAAAATACTGTAACAACGTACGTAACCAACCATATCCTTGCTCCCAAGCAAGTTTGCCGATTCATTAGAGCTTTAGGAAGAAATGGTTTTTTGATCGAACTCAATATATACGCAATTATAATATTATTACTTTTAGCCCGTGCCGGAAATAATTTATATTCACTAGTCAAAAAAGTGTATAAAATTTGTATAATTGTTGTATATAACATACTGAATATATATATATATATATATATATATATATATATATATATATATATACAAAAATATATATTTTTCGGCTATTATTTTGAAGAGCGGCTATATAATGTCATTTTCCCTTATCTGACCGCTTTTTACAATAATTAATAATAAAAAAGAAGAAAATTAGCTTGCTTGTACTGCTTTTCGGCATGGTTCACTAATCACTGCAATACAGTTATTTTACTTGGTTTCTTTTACGTTGTTGTCGAATAGTTGATGGATCTATACTCTAGCCATCTTTTATTTTTTTTTATTCATCACCCTTTAAAAAGTAAAAATGTCTAGAGAGTTTTGTTAAGTCCTATAAAAGCACGTATGTTATTGAATTCTACTTCTACTGGTAAATTTTACATGACATTTAAAAAAGGCGAAATACATAAACAGCCCCTTCAAGTTGTCCTCAACGGTCAAACAAACACTTCAAGTGACCCATTTACCATTTTGACACTTCAAGTGTCTATTAAGCGTATCAAGTAAATACCCGAGTCCAACAAACTATGTGAGTGAATTACACTTGCCAATGACGTGGCAAATGAACCAATTAAAAAATGATACGTATAATTTATAATAAAAACTAACACATGTAATTTAAAAAAACAATTAAAGAAAAAGAACCCTCTGTGTCACCTATCTTCATCTTCTTCGTTGTTTCAAAGAGAAGACATAAATTCCAGCCACCATTGATTAGTTAGAGTACAATCTAAATTTCCAATTTCCCTTGAGGATAGCACGGTAAGAAGAAGGTTTAACATCCCTTTTTTCAGTTTCCGGCGCAGTTTCCTGTGAAGTAAGGACCTTACTTTTTTCATTTTTTTGATAACCTATAAAGAGAAAAAATGAAGAACGACCGGGAAAACCAGACACAAACAAAGCCGCAGAGTTTAGATGTGGTGCTTCGCCAGAATGTTGCTACCATGGCGAACACCGGAGCTACGTCATCTTGTTCGTCACAAAACAGAAACCTCATATTTTTCGATCAAATTCCAGTAAAAAATTGATAATCAGACGAATCACAACCAAGAAGATCTGAAGTCAAACCCAAATACAGCCTCCTACCATGAACCCAGGTGGTTTCCGGAGAACCTAGATGGTGGGGACAACGAAAGGGCATAATTTGGGTTTCAGATCAATGCCCAAAAAATATTTTGATATTATAAAATGATAATGTATCGTGGGACCCACTCTAAAAGCAAGAAAGAAGAAGTTTGATGAAAAACTCACGCGCTCAAATGTAACTAAAATACATGTAACTTGCGATGTCAGCGTGAAGTGTCTACGATACGTATTTAATAGGCACTTGAAGTGTCAAAATGGTAAATGAGTCACTTGAAGTGTTTGTTTGACCGTTAAGGACAAATTCAAGGGGCGGTTTATGTATTTCGCCTTTAAAAAAATACCAAAAAAGTAATCGAACCGTACCGATGCCGAAGTAAAACCGACATGATTGGGACGGTTTCAAAAAGTCTAATTTGGCTATACATAATAGAATAACTGAAAAATTGGTATGGCACAAATTTTATAAAATAATCGGCCGAACCGATCCATTGACACCCGTAAGTAGAACTGTATGCGTTTGAGTAGTTGTTTAGATAAGAAGAAATGCAGAATGATGTGAATTTTCACTGAGTCAATCAGAGAGTTGAAAATGGGAAAGAGAAAATGGAACAGTTGGGGTTTTGAATTGATTGAGCCAACACACTTAATTTAGCTATGGACATAAGACAATGAACATGAGATCAAAGAAAAAGAAAGAGAATCTACAATCTACACATGGTGTTTTTTCCTCACTTGTAAATTTCACACCACAATAGTCATTAATTAATTTGCTGTAACACACACATTAACATAAGGAATTATTAAATCAAAATCACTAGCTAATTTAAAAAAAAAAAAAACTAAATTAGAACATAGCCGAATCAGAGGGTGAAGAATTATTGACTAAGTTAAAAATACTATTCCAGTAATTCTTGTTATCTTCACAATTCTCACTAGCATTTCCGTTGCCACCAGCTTCGCCGCCGTTATCGGATTCCGTGCCGTTTTCCGACAAAACCCCGTCACCTGAATTACTACTAAGCAATAGATCTGTAAATGTTTCCACAAAATTGGCAGGGGAAATTTGCTCTGCATTTGACTTTAGAGATTCAGCTGTCCACGTATTGTCCATTGGCATAGTTAAATCTTGAAGTCCTGAAGTGAATGACACAGAATTTTCATTAATCCCATCTTTATATTCAGGTAATTGTCCTGTTGATGAGTTTCCAAATCCTTTCCAATCTTCTTCACTTTCCTCGTTATTCATAATTCCACCTTCACTTGATCCTGACGAATTTCCAACGAATTCAAACAAAACCGTAGAATTTCCTCCATTAATCCCTGGTGTGGAAATATGCGGCGCGTTTTGATCAAAATAGCCTAGTGTAGACGTAGGAGACTCTTCCAGGTCCAGTCCAGTGACAGAAATAGTCGCACTGCCACTGGCCGTAATTTCATTCATTGGTTTGGTCCAAACACCATTCCACGCCTTGAGTACGTCCAGACATCGAGAAGGGCCCACCACAGGTTTGTTAAGAGGACTAGAAGGTGAAGAGGTTGTAAATTCTTGGGAGGCAAATGATGAATTTTGAAAACTATTGGACCGCAGTTTGGATTGTCTAACAAGTCTAGCTTCGGCTTCGAGCCGCGCGCTTTCCCACTGAGCCATGTGGCTAAGGTTGGCTGAGTTCTTGGACTGACCGTCATTAGACAAGAGGGTGTCATTCTTGGGCTTGTGGGTCACTGGGTCAATGCCCATTTTCAGTAGCCGTTTCTTAAGATGCGTATTCCAATAATTCTTGATCTCATTATCTGTTCTTTTCGGTAAATGAGTTGCTATGGCCGACCACCTAGAACAAGACAATGAAAGAATTTAAAGGGTAAGACAAAAAAAACTTTGATTTTATCTATGAATAGGGACTTATTTTGTAATTGGAAAAAGAAAGTGAAAGGAAATAATAGAAAATTCAAACGAGTTGATTTTAGCTATTTGAGACAAAAAGACAATTCCAATATTGTCCGATAGAAGAGTACAAGACCCTTCATATTTTTCAGTGTAACGCTGAAGAAAAATACAAAGTCAGGTGTATTGGAAAAAATAAACGTGCAATAGAATTTGTGCAGATCTGAATATTAAAATGTCAAAATTTGGACGTATCTTAATGTCAGCTAAAGAAGACAAATCATGCAATGCAAAAGCAAATTGCTTTTCATTTAGTTCAGATTTCTGAAAATGGTGGGCAAAAACCAAGCTAAATACCTTCACACTATATAAGAAGAAGAGAACTAGATCGAGGTGAATTCAAAATCTAAAGTAATCGAATCCAAAATGAATCTGCAATTTTATTATCTGTATACACTCTAAAATTTTGAACCAGAAGAATGAACTAATTAGTAGTACAAATTAATAAAAGTGTCAAGGATAAGAAAAATTAGAGTACCTATTCCCTAAGAGAGCATGGAGTTGAATGATGGTTTGTTCTTCTTGTAAAGTGAATTTCCCTCTCTTGATATCAGGCCTTAGGTAATTAGTCCACCTCAGCCTACAACTCTTTCCACATCTCTGAAGTCCTGCAAACCGAAATTAATCAGCGTTATAAAAAGAATTTTTTACACTATCAGTGCAAGAAAGCTGAAGGTGGTGAGCGAGCGAGCGCACGCACCAGCTTTGGCAGGTAATGCACGCCAGCTACCATGGCCATGTTCTTCAATATAAGCCAAGAGTTTTTGATCTTCTTCAGGTGTCCAAGGTCCTTTTTTCAAACCAACTTTATCACAACATGGAGATCGACCCATTGGAGAAAAATGGATTTGAGTAAAATTGTAGCTATTGTGATACTTTATAGTATTATGTAAAATATGCAGTTGCTTCTACTAATAGAGATAAATGGAGATTGGACAGTAGTATAGTACTAGCGCTGAAATAAAAGAAGAGAGAGCTAATAAGTAAGGAGTAAATAAGGAGAGAGAGATTGAGAAAGAAAGAAAGGTCAGCGACAAGGACGGGATAAAGATATTAATTTCAGCACAGGACATCATATAGTATGAAATCATGTGCAATCTCCAAGTACCTCTTTAGGACTTTGCCTTTTCCCTTAGCTAACTTCTCCTTTTAAATTTTAATAATAATTCTATTTTATATACTTGCAAATAAGTTCTAGGTGGCTTTATTTTATTTTATTTTATTTTATCTTTGGCACACCTATTAAGAAAATACGAACTCCTAGAGAAAAATAAATGTATTCACTAAATTAACCTTAATTAGTTGTTATACTGACACATTGGAATATGTAAATAAGGGCAAATTTTGAAAAAATAAAATTAACTCCTTCTTGATTACAATTGAACATTTATTATGGACTAAAATAAAAAGGTAAAATGGTCACTTATTCTGGACCGGGGGAGTACTACGTTCCCTACGTTTTCATGTCGCTTTTATGATACTCCCCTATAGAAATGTTCTGACATGTTTAAACCAACAAGAAAGAAATGATATCGCTCTTCGTAGATAATGTACACCGATTTTTCTTCTATTTTTTATTCATTTCGAGTCGGAAATGCGGGCTACTAGTGGGATCGTACCACAATTAGAATAAGGAACTTTAGAATTCATCCTACCTGTTGATGGTATAATATACACATCTTTAATTTAATAGTATCATAAAAATAAAATAATCTTTTATTTTTAAAAGGTCGTGTCTAATTGAATTAAAACACACACAATAAAAGGGTGAGAGTATAGTCTTTCCTTTAAAGTAACTGTTAGGATCTTTTTTCATTTACATCTCAAACTTCATTTCATGTTGTTGGATTATGGGTCATGGGTCGCTCCATGTGGGCTGACCCGACCCGATTAGGAGAGATAAGGGAGAGAGGTTAAAGGGAAGTTACCACTAGAGCACTAACACCCACTAAACTGAACGTGGGTGAGTGGGGGGTTATCTTCCTTAACCGCTATTACTCTCCCTATTTATATGAAGGAGATAACATAGAACAAAAGGGTGTAAGTTTTTTCTCGACCGTAAAAATTTTCTCTGACTCTCTTCTTCTCCCAGCGAAGAACACACACAAGTAAGGGCATCTAATTGGTGGAAGATTAACTTTGTTTCCTAGTGATTCAAAGTTCGATTTGGGGCAATCGTTTCGGTGGTGAGTTCAACAATTCTTCCGCTGCGTTGACAGGTACGCTAATGTTGTTCTCGCCCCGCGATTATTATTCTAACATTGGTATCAGAGCCAGGTTGTATGCTCGTAGTTGTTGATTGTCTCAATGTGAAATACTGTGTGAGAAGTATTTTTTAATATACTGTTCGTTCCAATTTCTCTTTGTGTTGCACATTGATAGATTGTACACAGAATAAAAAAAAACTTTAAAATAGTAGTAGGTATCACTTTTCTTGTTGAAAGAGTGTTCAAGATTTTGAAGGAGTAAATTTTTGTATATGTGTTTGCAATTTGGGCATAAACCGATATTGCTTTACACAATTTGTGAAGAGGATCAGTGGTGTGTCCTACTTTAATAACACTTTTATTCTGGAAATAAAATTGAGAGAACACAAATTGGAAGAACTTCTCTTAATTGTACAATTGGAATTGATTTCTAACTCTCAATTCAAAATAAAATAGAACTTACGAATTGGTTACGTCTTCCTACTGCTAAAATAAGAGCAGTTTATGAAACTTTTGCTCTTGGATTTAATAAGTGGCATTAGTGAACTTTTAAAATTTACAACTGTTGATTACATATGCCATTACTATTTAATTATCAATTTAAATGAATTGACTTGAAACCTTTATTCAAATAAGAGACAGATGTTTTTCTTATTTTGTTTACCCCAGTTCTCATACAATTCTGTTTGTGGGAGTATTTGACTGATATTATTTGAAGTAGGGCATGTTTATGTTAATTCTTTTGCCCACGTGAAAGGAAAAATGTGTTAAGGGATGTAAGGGCTATACGAAGGGAAAGGGAAAAGAAATTTAGAGAGCTTAGGGCTTCACTAGCTGAACATATTGAAAATTATCAGTTTACCCGAGATGCATTAATTGATGCTATTGACGAAATTGAACTATCTGATTGGGAAGTCTTAACAATTTTAGTAGATTCACTTGGAGAACCTTTAGGTAGTATTTTAACTGAAGTTTATCACGAGGTTTGGCCAAGTGAACCTTTTTGGGTTTATGTTCTTAAATTTGAAGCTGAGTGGGAGAACCGTCTCTACAACTACTTGTAATTTGTTTAATTAATGAAACTTTGTTATTTGTTTGCAAGATTACATGTCATTTTATTTGTTTATTTTTTTTAATGTGTGGCAATTAAAACAAGTATGACATAATATTGAAAATCTTGACAAGATACACACTATGAGAAATAATTTTATAAAATATTAGTTGAACATTTAGTTGTAGATGATGAATGAAAACGTAGTAATCTTTCGATTCTATACTAAGTGTAAAATTAATATTTTATTTAATTGATTTGCCTAAATGTGTATATCACATGCGAGAATGATGAGTAATAAATACACTTGCATTATTGTTTCATTTTACAGACTATGGCATCAAAAACTATCATTGCTGACTTAAACAAGGATGACAAACTGAACGGTGAAAATTATGATATTTGGAGCCGTAAGATGTGGTATGTGCTGGAAGAGAAAGATGCTCTTGAAGCCATTAACCATGTCATGGTTTGCCCAGAGGAGGGTAACACTGCCCAACATTGGAGAGATCTTGAGGCTTACAATTCTTGGAAAAAGAAAGATTCCACTGCTCGTGAAATCATTGTAAGCTCAGTTGTGGATGATTTCATTCATGAATGTGAACAATTCCCTACTGCTAATGCCATGTGGGCGCATTTAAGGGGGGCATATGGGGGTACGACTGTAACTCGCCTTCGTCAGCTGACAATCAAGTTTGACACGTACAAAAAGCGTCATGATCACGGTGTCAAGCAACATCTAAGGGTGATGTCAAATATGATTGCTCAACTCAAAAGTGCTGGCCATGTTCTCTCTGATGAGCAGCAGGTTCAGGCAGTGATTCGGTCTCTTCCCAATAATTGGGAACATTTGAAGGTTAACTTGACCCACAATGATAGCATCAAAACTTTTGCTGATGTTGCCCGTCATGTGGAGCTTGAAGACGAGCGGCTTGGTGCTGCTAAAGCTGTACCTAATGCCTTTGTGGCAGAATCAAGTGGTACAAAGAGATCAAGCTTCAAGCGTAAGAGAAACTAGAAAAATGACGGAAAGGGTAAGGAGACCGGAGAAGGACCCTCCAAGAAAAGAAACAAGCCAAATTCCAAGAAAGGAAAACGATTTTTCAAGAAGAAAGACAAGAGCAAGATGAAGTGTTACAATTGCCAAGTTCCAGGGCATTTTGCTCGTGAGTGCACTGAGCCGAAAAAGGTAGCATTTCAAAACGCATCTCTTAGTGCTATATATGTTTCTAGCACTATTTTACTAATTGAATCTTATCCTGTGTGGATTGTAGACTCATGGGCCACCGACCATGTGAGCCGCGATAGAGAAGCGTTTATAGAGTTTCGTCGAGTTCCACCTGGATCAAAGCATGTATATGTGGGAAATAATGCAAAGCTTGAAGTCAAAGGGATAGGCACTTGCAGAATGGACATGCGTGGTGGCCGATCTTTGATGTTGCATGACGTCCTATATGTTCCAGAGATTCGACGAAACTTAGTATCTGTGTCTGTTCTTCTAGATTTAGATTTCAATTTGAACTTTAGTCGCAGTGGTCTTAGAATTACTCAAGACAATGTTTTTTATGGTTTTGGACATCGTTATGATGGTTTTATTGTGTTAGATTGTAATCCTTCTACGTATAACTATTATGTTGACCGTTGTGTTATGGCATGTTATTCTAGTAACAATGATGTTGATATAATTACATGGCATGCAAGATTAGGTCACATAGGGCAGGATCGAATGAATAGATTGGCTAAGGAAGGACATTTGGGTTCTTTCTCTAAAATTGAAATGCCAACTTGTGAAAATTGTCTTGCCGGAAAGATTACACGTAAACCATTTGGAAAGGCTAAGAGAGCTGATTTTCCATTGCAATTAATCCATTCTGATATCTGTGGTCCAATGAATGTGAGGGCTAGATCTGGTGCTTTATATTTCATTACGTTCATTGATGATTTCACACGCTTTGGTTATGTCTATCTGATCTCTCATAAATCTGAAGCACTTGAATGCTTTAAGAAATATGTGAATGAAGTTGAGAATCAATTAGACAAAAGGATTAAGACCTTAAGAACCGATAGAGGGCGTGAATATCTTTCAAAAGAATTTGAAGGATTGTGCAATGAAAAGGGAATCACCAGACAGTTAACTATTCCATACACACCTCAACAAAATGGTGTAGCAGAAAGGAGGAATAGAACACTGCTGGACATGATAAGGTCCATGATGGCGCAGGCAAATTTACCTATCTCCTTTTGGGGAGATGCATTATTGACTGCAACTTATATATTGAACAAAGTGCCTTCTAAATCAGTTTCTTCCACTCCTTATGAGCTATGGACTGGTCATAAACCAAACTTAAAGGATTTACGACATTGGGGTTGTGCTGCATATGTAAAAGATTCTTTTAGCAAGTTTGGTAAATTAGGTCCAAAAGGCAAGAAATGTATCTTTATAAGATATTCAGAACACTCCAAAGGGTATGTGTTCATTGGCGAATTAGAGGATGGAAGTGTTACTGAGATTGAATCGCGAGATGTCACATTTTTGGAAAATGATTTTCCAAAGAAGGGCGAGGTAAAGAATGGAGAGCCTCTTTATGAAATGTTGAACTCAGATAGTCAGCAAGTGTCTTTTGACACAGTTGATAATCAAATTGATCAAGATCTTATTCTTGATCCGAGTGGGAGTGGGAGTGGGAACTCCCAATCCCAAAATCCTTCTGACGAACCTGAATTTCAACTACGAAAGAGTGCCAGGAAAAA